CTTTTGGTATAATCAATACCTGTAAAATTTGGATAAATTTAAATTTTTGTGAAAAAGGACAAAATGACAATTTGCCACTTTGATGCGAGTTGAAAACTTATATTTTTCTAGAGTTCGGATGACTAAACAGACCTCACCGTTGGATTCGTCTCATGAAATCTAGTTACCCAAACATTTTTTGTCGAATTCCGAGATAATCAAATTTGTTACGTTTTACAAGGTGATTAGGTGTCGCGTGATCTAAAAATGAGATATAAAATTAAATTTTGAAAGTTAAAAAATAATTTAAAGGAGGTTCATATGAAAATATTTTGAACTTGAACCGGTACAAAATTTAATCGTTTTAGGACAAAAATGGACTTGGAAATGGAGCACGCGTGGCACAACGAGGGTCAAACATTCCAAGGGGTATAAATAGGAGAGAAAAATCAGATTTTCTCCCCAATTTTCTGCTTTGTTTCGTTGGAGAGAGGTAAAGAGGGAAAAAGAGAAAAAACTCTAACTTCTCTATATAATCTATAAAGTTTCTTTGGTCGTAATCCTTTGGGTTAAGTATTAAAGTTGATTTTCACGACAAAGGCTATGCCTACGTACCAAAAATGACGGATTTCACCAAAATTTCTGAGACAAGATTTTAGAAATTTAAGGGTTTGATCTTGGGTTGTATTCTTGAAGGTTCTATCATTTTTTTTATGCTTCAAGAGGTAGAGTTTTCTCTCTAATTAGGTTTATTTCCAACCTAGAAGGATTATATGGAATTGGTAAGGTATTAGAGGTATATAACACTTACCTATTGTTATTAATTTGATGAAATGTGTATTGACAATGGGTAAAATTAATTCTAGATTGAATTGGTATTTAGACATGAAATTAGTATCGCAATTGTACATTACATTGCATATACACGGAGAAATCGCATTCACGGGCATTAAACATGAGTGGGAGCGTGTGTGTATGGTTGTCATTAACACCACTCTTGGTGAATAATGGGTGGGCTCGGGATAGTTGGTCCGATGGTTCGACTAAGTCGTATGATTTGCATTGAAAATAGGGTCGGGATTAGTAAGAAGGGCTAGATTGTCCTTCGGGTGCAAGACCCGATGATTGGATATGCATTCCGTTGGTGTAGAGTCCATAAAGTGTGTTGGTGTAGCGGAGCCATTGGTGGAAGTCCATTAATTCTGTATCGGTTGGGTGTCCATTGGTGTGAGTTTATAAATACCCACCTCAAGAAAGACTTGAGATTTAAAATGGTCATTGGATGTGTAACATTTATGGTGAGAGCTTAGAATGTCTGGTTTTAAAAACATGACATTGCATGTGTTATGGGAGTCGATAAGGGCTCGGGTTGAGTTGCATGTGTGAGTCTTATAACATAACATGACATGGCCTATAATCCATTATGAATTGCATATTTATTAATGAATTATTTGTTGTTGGATGAATTGCATGTGAACATTTCATATGCATCTAGGTTAGGAAGTAACATATTTATGAGATGCTCTATTAAGCATGACTCATCCTTTATGGGGACAACATTTCAGGTGCGGGACATGCGCTGGTGGACAGCTCTCACTCGGATCCTCGTTGAAGAAATGTGGCTTTCAAATCATATTTTGTAAATCTAATATGTTATTTAGATTTTGGCGTGTAATATTGTAAGGGATTGTAAAGTGAACTCATATAAACTATATTTTATTTAAAATTGATGTTATATGAGTTTTGTATGATGCTGTATAAGTTTGGAATAGATTGAAATTGAAAAATAAATGAATCATAAGAAAACTAGTAAGACCTATTGGTAGAATGACGAGTTCTTCTATCGGTAAAACTTTTTCAGTAGGCTAAAGCTACCGATAGAACGTTAAGTTTTGCGGTAGAACTTTTTTAGAAGGTTTTTCTACCAGTAGAACAGGGTCATCTTCTACTGGTAGGTTTTCCTGAAATTTTAAATTCTAAGAATGCTTTTGTTATGCTTTCGGGTCTTGGGTTCTTTTGTTCAAATGATACAAATAGACAATAAATGAGAATAAATTGAGGTATATTGGATCTTTGATGAGTCATGTGATTGAATAGTATATAGGCTATGTGTTTGGGAGTGCCCGATACAAAAGAGACTCTACCCAAACTTTGAGTTATTGTAATCCCAGTAAAAGGGATATTGTGCCATGACTTCGGGTTATGCGGCATTTACAGATGTTTCTATGAGTTGACAGGTAGTCAACGGATGAACAAAGGACTCTCAGTTTTAAGGACATCACAATACCTATTCAAACTATCTTTACTTTGGAGTACATCTTGGAATTTCCAATTACACTATGAATAGACTCGTACCCATAGCCACTTAGTCGAATTGGGTGAAGTTGTATGTTAGGGTCGTGAATTCAATATGACCTTGACGTAGAATTAATTGGTACAAGTTTAATCTTTAACATGTTTGAATGATAAATAGGCAGACACATTAGAACTGTTAAAATATGATTCAACACAAATATGGATGAACACCAAGGCCAGCTCCACCCCTAAGCAAGTGAGCCAATCGCCTATGACCCTCACTCACCTAAAAATTTAAGATGTTGTGTCAAACGTTGAAATATTTAAAAAATATTTTTCTTTAAATCATAAACATATATACATTGAGAAAGAAAAAGAATTCCACCATATTCTTGTACAAAAAATTATAAGACTCTACTCTCTCATTTTATTTGAATTCTCAATAACTCTGACCTTTTTATTCTGTTTAATTTTTTTGAATTATAATTTTTGAGATAATTCCGACCTTGATATAATCATTCATATATTGCGTTTAATTTGCAAGTTGTTTTCAACCTTAAATATATCTACTAAAATATATGAATTTAAATATTTAAAATCTAAATAAAAAATAATTAAATTATTCATCTAAACATAATTTAGGGCAACATCTAAAATTTTTGCATAGACCTCCAATATTCTTAGACTGGCCTGCTGAACACAATATTAATCCGACATAAAACAAATACATTTATACATAATTATAAATGAATTATATAAATTTAATGAACTTAACGTGATATGACTTAAACATGACACAAATGAGATGTCAAGTTGCTTGAAACTCATGACAAAGATAATCCAACTGGTTTCAATTTTTTTTTAGTGTTTTATAAAACGTTCTTGGTGGAAAAAAATGTGAATGAAAGATTCAACTGAATTGAATTGGGTCCATGACTCTACGAAATGGTGAGAATTCTTGATATCTCTCAATGCCTCTCTCAATTTGAAAATCTATAATTTGAATTGATATCCTTTCATTGATTCCTCATAAATTGCATTGATTTATTCTAAAGATTTCAACGGTTAGAGATTATTCGGGCTAACTTACAAGTATCTCGAATAATTCCTTCTTCAATCCAGTCAAAAACAAGTCATCCATATTAAAACTAGATGATTCACGACAGTTAAATTTTCTTAACATCGTGGTTGCTTTCATTGGGGACAAAATTTCACACCTCATTGTTTGTCCTTGTCACGTGTTTAAGAGCATGTAGTGGAAGAATATACCAGTAGAGATGGTGAAATTTCTTGAACAGAGCAGGAAAGGTCTGGTTCAAATTTATAAGGAATTAATAATAATATAGGACTTATGATAATCCCAATCATGTTTCAAACTACCTTCTCTTAAGTATATTAAAATTTGAAATGCTGAACAGAAACATTTGTTGGAGTATAATACGTCTATTAATTTTATAACAATATCATTTGGACCTTTACATCAAGATAGAGTAGCAGCTTCAAGGTGAGTTGCAAATTAATTCAGACGTTTGCTCTCTCTCTTTCTCTCCCATACTTTTTTTTGTGGATTTTTTCTTTACTTGTTCTTGTTTAGACTATATATCAGAGGTAACTCATGTCTGAAAGTACATTGCAACTTAAGTAAGAATTAATGAATTTAGGAGAAGGAAAAAAATTCAATGTGAATGTTTTTTAGAGGGATATTAGTGACCGTTGAATAAGTCTATTTGAGATCGTCAAATGAACTTACTAAAACCTACCATGTTTTATATTATAGATGTCAACGACGCTTAAGGGTGATTCAGTAATTAAATCTGATATTTAATAACTCAGAAGTTTTAAGTTCAATTTCTTTCTACATTCCCTAAAGGTCAACCACCCTTATTTCTCAGGGATATGCTCTAACCAACTCAAGCTATGGTGACAGCCGTTGAATTCGAGGGAGTAATTGATGCAACCTTGAACACCTTGTAGCAACAAAGAAAAAAAAGATTATTCATGTCAATTTGTTCGGGCCATATCTATCTCATTTCTGACTAAAAAAAAGATCTATCTCATTCATGATTATACATATTTAGATTTGCATATCGTATTGATATAAACAATATTCAATTAGATTTGCATTGAATTGATATAAAACAAAATTCAATTAGATTTGTGTAGTGTTTAATTGGGCTCACTTTCACATATTTATTGAACAATCACATTATGATTCAACTTCATATGCGTTATGTTTTTCTCGATCGAGTTAGTGGGTCATATTAAGAATTGTCAAACCTTATGTGTCTATTTATGTTTGGTCCGAGGTGTTGGAGCATAGACTAGACACTAAATAATATGTAATTAGTGAGTTTTTGTTAGTCATAAGAAATTTGGGAGGCGAAGTGTAAATGAATCGATACAAACCCATTAAACATAACTTATATGTAATGCATATCAAGCCACATATGATTATAAATTGGAAGATATAAATTAATAATAATTTAACACGAAACTGAAATAGGACACAAACATAGCCCCGAGCCAACCCTTTGCGATAGCCACATCAGGTAGAGCTCACATACTATCCAATGGAGCTCATGCTGGCAGGCCACGACGCCACATTTTGACTAGACCGATTCAATTAAACGCAACCACATATTACATTGCGATTCGTAGTCTGAAATTCTATTGTCTTCAATGTAGAGATAAAAACTACTTACAACTCATTTGATGTAAATGCGAGTTTATTTATCGAGGCTTTGGGAGTCTTGCACCCCAACAGGGGGTGCAGGAGGCCCATAATAACGAGGAAGCCTCACTGCTTCTTCTCGACCCCGTGCCCTACCAATAAGGTAACAAGCAATGGCTACGATCAAGAAGAATAGAATCACCGGCAATGATATAACCACAACATAACCCATGATTTCTTCTACTTCTTCTTCTTCCCGCGTCCTGCGTTACTAGCAAAAACACCATCCATTATCATCATATACTGAGTAAACAACACAACATTCATCATTTGACCTTCTATTTCCTAAAGGATTCAGCAGTTCGTAATTGTTTGTAAATTCAAACCTCATTGGTGGGCAGGAGAGGTGAGCCCAACCCAAGTCCAAGAGGATTTGGAACAAAGTTTGGTGGTTCACTGTCCATGCTTATTGGGGCTAGGCTGAAAGGTCCACCATAGGATCGGTAATAGTTTGTTCACCACCGAGCAACTCAAAACTTGTGTTCGGTTGTTGTTTGTTCCCACTCTTCTCAAATTATAGATTGTAACAGATTAATAATCTGTCTTATAAACGAGACGAATCCAAGTTACATGTCACTCATCTCCAAATTTATATTGTTTTATTTATGAAAAATTTTAGATTTGTTATCAAACAATCCCTATGCAAAAAATTAATGGACAATTCCAAACTTAGAAATGTTTACTAAAATTTGACTCGAATGCTCTTGAAAGTTGAATTTGGGTAATAATCTAAATTCCACAGTCGATGCTCAACTAGTTACAACAGAGTCGAATATGAACCTACTCAATCTGGAGCAAACGAAAGTCACTTTTTAAAGCCCAAGTCCTACAAACAGGACAAAAAAAAAAGAGGGGCTTTCAAATTATAGATAAACCAGGGAGGGAGACATTGGTTTTGGAGAAATGAAGGCATCGAAAATAATAAGAAATGAGTGAGAATAATTGCAATGGAACTAAAATCATAAACGGAAAATCAACCCACCCATTTCTTTTCTCAATCCATTCTTTGAATCTGACCTTTATGAGATATAAGCTCTCAAAACTAATCTAATCCCCAAAATATTATAAAGAGCAAGTGAACATTGATTTTCAGGCAAATATCTATTAAAACACAAAATTCCAAGATTTACAAAGTGGGTTTGATTTAGAATTCGGCAATTGTTGGCAAATATAATTTCAAGGCAGACAGAGAAAATCAATTTTGTGGATATATTAAGTGCTTCATTTCATGTAAGTTATGCAACTACACAACAGAACACAACAAAAATAAAGAAAGAGATTGTTCAGTTAAATTATGAAATTCAAAGCCGTACGTACCTTACTCTCGCTAGGGGCTTCTCCTCTCACTCAACTTACTACGGCTTTACCAGGCTGTACTCCCCGATTTGGTGCAGAGTGCAGAGAGAGGGGATGATGGGTTGACATGACGAAAAATAAACCAACCTGTATATTATATTATAAAATTGCACTATTTTCTCTTTTTGCATCTTCAATATATTATAAAATAATTATAACATGAATATTACACTAACTTTCTTTATTATTTTTGTCAAATATTCTTATACACTACACATTTGAATTAGCAAAAACAAAAACAAAAGTTAATCTGTAGATCACATTATAATTATTTTATAATATTTAAGATACGATGTCAAAAAATTAATCTTTACAAGTACAAATTAAAAATTTTAAAATGTTATAGGGTTCAAACTGTCATTCATCCAATTTTCTTAACAAGTATTTCCTTTACCATGGCTGCCTCCTAGTCCACATGATCTATCTGGTGCTCTCCAGAGAGGACTACGGTTTTCTAACCAATGTTTGCCCTCCTCTTTTTTGCCGTTTTCTGAATTAAGTCCCAGTGCCACTCAGGAAAAGACACTGATAACAGTTTTTTTTTTTTTTGGATACCGCAACTCTAAATTTTATGATTTTAGGAGATGTTTTTATACTTTGTATGGTTTGTTTTATAATAAAAAAATTTATAATTTTTAATAAATAGGTAATTTACAACTTTTGTGATAATTGCTATGGATTGTTGTACAAAAAACTATAAAAGTTATAAGTAACGGTATAATATCAAAATATTATTTTTCTATACAATAGACTACTCCCAATCCAAATTCTATTAATTCCCGTACTAGTAAATTGTAATTTGAGGTTAACAGTTGACCTAATAACCATAATCTTATTATTAGACCTTAACGTCACCAATAATACTACGAACATCACCTTCTTACACCAATCTCTATACACCACCTCCATCAAGCCTGAAGAGAAAGTGACTTTGTTTTTGCAACAATAACTTCTCCACCTTCTCTTCAACCCATTGTTCTTTTTTCCCCGCTCATTCTGCTGCAATTATGGATCCAATACATTTTGTCCTATGTCTACATGATAATGTACATGCATCAATATTCTGATACACGAGAGAGAGAGAGAGAGAGAGAGAGAGAGAACTACTGAGCACCTCTGACGTAGAGAATGAGTTGTGTTAGAACATCCAACAACCCAAAAATTGTCCACCCAGATGCTATGAACTGTAAGCAAAGGTTATGAGCCATAAGCTGATACAGAAACCTTACGATACCCAGATCCACCCTCATGAGTGACAACTGATTTGTTGGATAAACGACGCTTATAGCGCTTGAGGACGGATGCCAAATTTTCTTTTCCTTTAGGGAAAGCCACGTCACCAGCTGCAGTGCCCGTTCTACCCTTTCGGGATGAGATTGCAAGTTCAACATCTTTGATTATGTCTAAGAGCATGGCCCCGGTTGTGCATTTCCCCCGGCCTTGTTTTGCAGGTGGAGGCAAGCTCCCACTTGAAATTGGTGGGCTTGACCTATGTTGGTGTGAGACTGGAATTTGAAGGCAGAAACAGGGGATCATTGGAGAACGGGGCTTTGAAAATGCTAAATCGACAATCCCCTGCAGCAAAAACATTTGTAACTTGTTACCAGACTCGCAGAAACAAATATTCAAAAACAAAAAATTAATAACGACGAAAGTCGGTGGCATTTGTGGGGGTAGCCTTCCAACATTCCACATTCATTGTGTTCCATTTGAGTGACGTGGAGATTTTTATATAAATTGTGATTGGTATGAGAAGTAAAAAGTTGTGCAAATAGCTCTGTCTCAGGTCACTTCCTAATCTTGATAGCCACACTAGCATTTCTTGAGAGGCTAAGCCATATATTCTGTTATCTAGACAAAATGGCCTTTTGAGGTATTTTGTTAGACATTAACAAAAAATACTGTTGTTAGATGGCAATAAGGAAGCTAAGTGGGGGTGGCAATACAAAAATTGTTCTCAGAAACCTAAAATCCAGAATCTTTATAAACCACTAATCATGACTCATGAGCCACAGCTGGAAGCAGGAACGACGCACAAAAAATAGAACAGTTTGTGTAACATTTTGATGCAATGTTCCAATTCACAAAATTAGCTCAAACAGATCTTCCAAACAGTTCACTTTAACCATTAAACAAAGGGACTTCCCCTAGCATGAGAGGACCGTTCAATAGAAAAGTGCTTGGGCTGTCAATTGTTAAAAGGTTTTCAAAGAAACCTCTTAAGGTAAAAAAATGACAAATTAAAGTTCGTGTTCACTCTACCCCAACCACCAAGAGAGAAACCATCTTAAGAGCAGGCATTATTCTTTGAAGACGTGATCACTTGATGTGCAGTAACAGAAACAAACAAAAGTATGAAGCATGAAATAAAACTTTACCTGAAGACGATTGAGTACATAAGTGTATTTCCCCCAAAGCTCTGGCCGGCTTTCCATAAGGGAAAGCTCAAGAACCCGGTGAATGCACCATATTCCAAAGCTTACTAGCAGATCCAGTCTCCAAATACAGCCTTCCCCACAATGAGGAACTGAGGTTACCAGAAATTTATCATTTTCCAGTGCAGAAGCAGCTTTCCTATCAGGAGCAAACTGAGCATCATCCATGTGAACCACTCGGTTGATTTCTCTAGTTTCAACTTCATAAATGAATCTTTCCCTTGCAGCCACACGATCAATAAGATCCTCATCAGCCCCATCATTCTGTCTAAACAACCAATCAGATCCTTCCAGCTTCAAGAGCTTCAAAATACATTGTCTAAAAGACTGAAGAAGCTTTGCTTCCAAATCGACATCGAATGCAGTTTCTTCAGTTGCTGAAATTTGACCATCTCCAACACTTCCACCATCGACAGGATGAGTTTTATCAGCCACACCAAACTGTTCAAATGGTTGTCTAGACCACAAGGACCCAGCATCTGAGCTTGAATTGAATTGTAATGAGAATGCGTCTCTACAGACTTTGGAAGGAGAAAAAGCATCAAATACCAAAGGAGCTCCAGCATTCAATGAAGCGTTTGAATACAAGGATCGTTCATTCAACGTGCGACTAACAGATGGGTCATATCTCATGGGTCTATCCCACTGAGCACTCCTATCAGACAATAATGGATCTCGTTGAGGGATAGAGAGTCCAGAGATGTCCGGCATGCTATAGTATTTCTTTGTATTAACTGTGCTACTTACATTCTCACTTGGTTCAGGAGAGTGAAGGCCATAAAATGGTCTTTCAGAGTGCAATGAACTATTTCTAGCTACAGCAACGCTTGGAAAGCCCGGTGCCTTTATAGTGCTCAACCCATTTTGTGGTTTTTGCCCCAAGGCATGAGCGAGTGGATCTATGTAATTTGAAGTGAGCAAAGGTGTGGATGTTGGGGTTAGTGATTCCATTTGATCATTCAAGTAAACAGTACTTCTTTCTTTACCAATTTGACTAAGATATGATGCAAACTGATATCCATGCATAGTAGCTGGCTGTTGATCGTACCCATTGGAAGATGGTGGAATGCGCACACTAGAATAGCGCCTCTCACCAGCCTCGGTAGCATTGCAGCTGGAATTTTGCACATATGCATTTAACAACTGCATGTGGTTTGAAAAAGAAGATGAACCCCTTTGAGCCCCATAAGATGATTTGGGAGAGTCATATAAACTTGAATTAGATCCTCTTCCACCATCAGATGGAAAATATCCAGAATATTCCTTCCCACTATTGTCCACTTTCAGTGATCCATAGGCAGATTTTAAATCTACCTTCGAATCTACCCCCAGTAACACATCCAGTTTCTTAGCCCTTGCTTCTTTTGTGGCTTGCCCATGAAAGTCAAACAGCTGTCCCCAAAACTCATCAAGAACTATAGTCAATTGCCGTCTTGCAGCACGGCCCAATCCAGCTAGTCTTGAAAGACTTCCAGTGCCACTCCCTACATCCTCACTTTTTCCACTAAGATTCCTAAATGATCCAGGACCCTCGGATGTCAAAGGGATGCTCCCAGACACTCCTTTACAGGATTCTTCAGGCTCCCAAGTATCTCCCTCCTCATCTTTCTCAGTTTGTTCATACCCCTCAATTCCGAGAGTCTTTTCTTTCAAGTCTATTGATCTAGTATTCGAGTTACTGACATCCAGCAATTCCCCTTCAGAAACATCATTACTAATAGTTGATGCTATGACAGTTTCTACTGTGGTTGTCGATTCCTCTGTGGGGCGTAAAGAAGGACTGGAATATGTATTACCAGAATGCTTCTCCTCAAAAGTAGCCAAATGTGGCACAGTATCAGCATCCAAGAGTGTATCAGGCAGATTGAGATCAGGACTTGAAGTCAATGTGCATTCTTGCCTTTCGGTGGATTCACCTGAATGATATCTAGTTTCACTAATATCATATTTGTTTCTCTCTGCAGATGATTCAAGCACAGGTGTTTGCATTTCCCAGTTGCATGTCTGGGTTTCTAATCTGGAACTTGCAGATTTTAATGGGGTCGTTGCTAGCCAAAGCATCAAACAGAAAGATACAGAAGCAATGACAAGAAGAACGATGTAACAGATAGATGTACTATTCCCCATGCTCCACCTCAAATTACTTGCCCAATCAGTATTTCCAAATATCATCTCTATCACAAATATAATCTTTAGGCCAAGCATTCCAATAAAAATGGTCACTGCTAGGAACTCCACAAACTGAGAAACTTTGTGCACGCCCATTATTGACCTTGATGAGGCAACTCGGAAAAGGGGAATCACAGAAGATGGAAGCACAAGAGCAACCACAACCTGTGTAATTATAAGCAGTTGATATATACCTTCAGCTCCTGAATTCCACACAGTATAAAGTGCAGAAACAATAGCAATTATCCTGATTGTTGTCTGATAAAGCCAACCGGGAATGTCCATTCTGAACAAATCATGTATGACCACTTGTCCACCTAGATTCCAGGTTAACATGGTGATTTGATTCGACAAAAACATAATCAGCATTAAGGCAAAAGGTGCAAACGAACTCCTAAAGACCTGTTATTTATTTTTTTGGAAGAAAAGTAATACGGTTAGTGTGAATCGAATGTATGAAAAACAAAAAATCTCATGGAACCCACATGTTAAGAATGCTCTTATGGAAAATTACTTATGAAACCCCGACCTGATCCATTAGGGAAATAGCATCCTGAAAAGTAAGCAATACAAGGCCGGTGCTATAGAACACATTAGCTCCTGATTTCATCAGCACATAATTAACAAGGAAAATGCCGCTGAAGATGCAGAGGATGGCAAAAAAATGTTCATGACACAATGATTCCTTGGAAACATTTGTTGGTCCTTGATATTGCTGCAAAATAATAGGAAAGAGCAGAAATTTCGTAAATTCAACATATAAAAGTACCCTAACTTCTACATGAGAACAGAATAAATCTAAATTCCGAACTGTGTCCCACAGGGTATATGCATACAGTAAATCAGATTTATCATAGACTCTGAACATCTCGTACAGAAATTTTAGGATCCATAAGAATAGAAGAAATTTTAGGATCCATAAGAATAGAAGAAATTTTCTGTCCATACGTTTTGCACTCACATTTTGATTAGTATGGGTAGATGAATGAGTATTACTTATAGCTTACAAAAGCAAGAGGAGGGAGGGGTATGACTTCACTTTCCGATGAATCTAGCTTATGAGTTTTGCCTATAGTGTGAGTGGATCAAAGAGTTTTCTTATTAATACACAATGAATAAGTTTTTGAGGAATGACAAATTGGCGTGGTATTGTGCTTCAATCTCAAATGGCACCACTATCTCCTATGGTAGGAAATCATTTGACGGTTTTTGCACTTACACTCATGCACACACACAAACAGAGAGAGAGAGAGAAACCTGTACAATAGACGAATGAAGGTAAAAACTGTGAGGTATAATATTCGCTCCGAGAAGGCTCATCAATGCAAACACACTTTCACCACTTAACTTTGTTAACGTTCCACTCCCACCAATGGACATGGGAGTTTCTGGTTGACTGATGATCACTCCTAAAACATAAGAAAGTAGTATAAAGCTTGCCGCGCATATGCATAGGAACTTTGCCTTACCACTCTCCTGAAAAATGAATGATTGTGAAATCACAAGAAATGTGCTTACCACCGTATTGATATTGGAAGTGAAAGCATTAGAAATGCAAGAAGAAAGGCTTACCAGGAAGGTAGCAAAAAATGGAAACAGAACAGCTTCAACAGTAGTCAGAAGTACAGAAGTAAAGAGATCCATCCCCAGTATAAGATTAAGCCCATGAGCAGTGCCCAAAATCTACCAGAAGAAGTTCAGTTATACATTAGGAACAAAAAAGAAAAAAGTTTATTAGAAAAAGCAGCTGAATGAAAAACAAATATAATGAAATAGTGACAAGCTACCATAGTTAGGTCCAGAATAATCATGGAAATCTCAGCTTGAACTCCCAAGAATATGCATGTGACCTTGTCATACTCCTCACTGCAAATCTGTCACATCCCATGGAAAAAATACTACTGGTTACCATTTATGTAAAGCAAAAAAAAAGAGAGTGAAGCAAATAAATAAACCAGTAGTATTTCGCCAAAACACCATTTGCCATCAAGGATCCATACTGGCTGTATAACAGCCGCAGCTCATAACAATTTAAGGGCAGAGAGAGAGGGGGGGGGGGGGGGAAGGGTTGTCTCAGCCACTCTATTGTAGACTTTGATGCTACTAGGATAAATAGAGAATAGGTTGCAGTTCTAGCATGCGTGATGCTTCTAGGTTATTGAACACATGATGGCCCTGTACATTTTAATATACATATTACACATATATATATATACAAATGTATTCCAGGTTAGTGGAATGGCAAAGGGTTTCAACTCAGCTCAAATTAGCCCTGTTCCAACTATACGGGAGAGAAGAAGGGACATCCAGAAAATATTTTTTTCACATTATTTCTTTGGCACACTGAACTGGCTAATACAGATCTCCACGTTTAACACAAGCATCAGATTCATAACATAATAAGGGATACTTAAGATAGTGCTCGCATCTAGCTGCACGGAAGCTGAAAAAGCATATCACGTATCAAGTGATGGCTAAGGGCAAGCAAAGTAATAAAGCCACAAAGACCTACACCACAATTTTAGATGTTCTTACCATTGAAACAATATTATATATTAACATGCAAGAAAAATGCAGAAATCACTGAAGCCAAAACCATATGATATTCTCATTATCTTTATAAAAATTAAATGCTAACAGAAAAGAAGAAATACCTGCGCAAGATCTCTTCCAGTGACCACGGCAATACGAGCTGACAGGTATTGACATAAAATAGCAGCAAAATTGAAAACAAGCATTAGAGTTATCAAATCAAAACCAAAACGTGCTCCTCCCTCAACAGTTGCAGCCCACTTTCCTGGGTCAACATATCCTATTGCAATCAAAAGCACAGGTACAACAGCATGGTGAAGCCTCTTGTGAAAGCTTGAGTTAGTAGTTGGAGTTTCAGTGTCCATGTTAATGAGTGATTCTTCAAAGAACAAGGAATCCAGTGGGAGCCTCGGATAGTTAATTAACAGATCCAACTAACTTATGAACCTTTGAGACGCTCTCAAGCTGCTGCTATGCAGGCGTACTTTAACTTCAAATGGCAACACTCACAGGTGATCTAGCGTGATATTAGCAATCACGATGGTTAACCATATCTGGATTTAACCACGGTAATCCAGATACCTGGCATTTTAGTTGAACATAAACAAAACATACATCCAACAACAATACAGACAAAGCAAATCTGACAGGCTTGTATGATGTACTTGCCCAGATCAAATTATTGCAGCTCACATGACAACTGTAGACATAGCAAGATTTGAACATTAGTTGTGCTCACAATCGAGCTGCATTCATCCCAATTTCAAATTACTTTCATACGCAGATCGAATTCTTTCAATCATTTCTTCATCAGGGCCAGAGAACTAATGCATAAAGTGAAAATTTTGCTCAAAAATCAAATCTCGGGATGAAAGAGAACATAACAAATCATCTGTGATCCAGAAATAAAACTCCAAAAAAGTAGCTACTGCAGCAAAGCTTCCTTCTTGACCTGCACCATACAGCAGTAATCCTGACTTGGGAAACTTCATACAATATGCAACATTTCAAAGTATGAAAGAATAAAATCACCAGATTTGACATGTAATAAATTGATTGAAATACTAAACAGTTACAACTAGTCAACATCTATTTGGAATAAAAAATTAAATTTTCTAAAAAATATAGTTGTACAAAACACCTCATTACCCGCCCTAGGGCTGCATGGAGCATGCTCTAGATTGCAATGCTCGACACCACACCTCATGACAAGGGAACAACCCATTTTATGCACAAGTTGACGCACCCCCATTCAAAATTAGCATACAGGAGGTAGAATAACATCATCAGATTGATGATTCCACCTAAGTCTACTTACCGGGCATCACAACTTCAAGAGTTAACCAACAAGAAGTACAATTAATAAAAACGGCAAACAAGGCATTATAATAAAAAAACCCAGCAACTTTTTAGTTACAAAAATACACAGAAATACACAGGTTCAAGTATAACTATGCTCATCCAAACATACTCTTACTTTCTTTCAACCATACTTCTTAAAACACCAAGTTACCGAATACTCAGAGCAGCAACACCAGCGACAACAACATACCTACTGGGAAGAAAACAACCAACAACAACAAAAAGCAGTTTGCCATAACGACCACTACTTCAACCTAATGAAAAATGACCAGAAAAAGTCAATATACCATCAAAACGCATAAAGAACAAAAATTCCCACTGGCCCAGATCTTTACTGTGCTGCGCACAACATCATTTTAATGACCCAGAATCAAAAACCCTTATTGCAAAACCATTAGAGCAGAATCCAAAACCCCAGGAACAGAGCACAAATGACCCATGTGCAGAATACACACACACACACACACACACAAACAACCACCATAATCTTTTTAAAAAAATGAAACTAATTGGCATCGATCTGACTGAAGCAAACGACAAAGACCAGTCCAGAAATTTCCACACGAAAAAAATACAGAAATACAGAAAATATATATAGGTATACATATAAATATCCACAAAAATATATACATGTGTTATGAAGCACAAATTTGACAAGTGTCTATAGACTATGATATTAGCCATAATTAGGGCTCGTAACAGAAATTGGTACCTTCTTTCCTCAGGAGGTCGCCTTTTCCCCGTCTGATCAGACTTTAGATCAGATGCTTTTAGGCAGCCACGCGTTGTTTCATATACTGATATAGTGAGAGAGAGAAGCAGATGTACCTAGCGACAGAGAGAGAGAGAGAGAGAGTTCTGGTTTCTGAGCTGTGACTTCAGAGAGAAAAAGCTTAAAGAGAAAAGATATATATATATATATATATATATTGTGAAACTGATATAAATCCTAGTAAAAAAACTGATATAAATATTTATGCTAATTGCTTAGTTTATGAATAGTGTTATGTTTATTAAATATTTTATCTTAAATCAATGTAAGTGATTAAATCGGTAGAAGTTTCTAAGTTGTATGAAACATTCGATCTATAAACTTTTAACACATTATTTAAAAGGAAAATATAATATTTAATAAATAAATTTAAGAAATTACGTTTATTTAGTGGCTATTCGAGTCATCTTGGGGAGCGAGAAAGTTAAGGAAGTAGCGAGTGTCCACAATAATGTGAAAACTTTCCCAAAAATGCATAGGAGAGAAAGAGGCTCCAAAAGAAACTTTACGTTTCCTCTCCTTTCTTTACATTTATGACTCCACACACACACACACCAACACTCTCTCTCTCTCTCTCTCTCTCAATATCACTCAAATTTATCATGACAGGTGTTCTTATATCGAAAAGACCAATGAGCAATGTTACATAAATTAAAAAATTAAACTTAATAATTTAAATTATTTATTTTATTGTGGATCTTAGTATTTATTGAGACTCTCAACTTAGTCAATAATTAAGATTATCAGGTTTAATTTTTAAGTTTATTTTTTAAATTTATGTAATATTACTCATATTAAAAAAAGGTTCATATTTTTTTTTGAACAATAAAAAAAATGTTCATATCGATAAGTTTTTCTACCAATAGATTTTAATTTAATTTATTTATACTTTTTAATTAATAAAAAATAAGATAAAATAGCAAAATAAATTTTTTACATGAAATAAAAAAATACAATATCAAAAAAATAACTTTTTGAGTACCAAAATTAAACCTCAATAAAAAAAATTAACACCACATAATGCTAAGTTTTTGTGGTGTAAAAAAATTATACACCACATAATGCCAACTCAAATTTGCTTTGTTAGAATCTCATTTAGGTCGATTAAATTTGAATTTAAGATTATTAATATTCAAAAACTAAGTAAAGAACAAGCTCAATTCATATATATATATATATATATATATATATATATATACCCTAGGTCGATTATATATATATAGCTAAGTAAAGAACAAGCTCAATTCATAAAGAGACTTAACAAAAACTTGGTTTGATGTTGGGGATACGAACTTACCCGAAACAAAAAAGGATGTTGGGCTATGAATATTGAATAATATGGCACTAATGTGACAAGGAAGGGACAATTTAGGGTATGTATGGGGTTCATGTATAATTCATGAAGATAGAGATGGTGCTACCAAATTTAAACTTTGATGTATTTGTGGCAGGGTCTAGGCAGCAAACAAGACATTGAAACTGTAGTCTCATAAATGCAATTATTGACCTTGCAACAATGCAGAAGGGATTGACTTTCCTTGGGTGCATAGTGTATGATGTTTGAAAGTTACCTAACACGTCAACTTAATGTTGGATTTAGAATCTTTTCTTCAAGTTATATCAGTTGGCAAAGTTATGTATCTATCAAAGTTACTTACTTTCTTTCATGAAAAATTCAGCTCACCATCCTGGTCAAACGATAAAGAGAAACTGATAAAAGAAAAGAGCTTTTATAATCATTCAATTTCCATTCCTTATTATTAATCTTTTTTTTTTTTGTGGGTGTTTTTTTTTTGTTGGGGGGGGGGGGTGGGTGGGGTGTGGGGGATTTGATGATGCCTTGAATGATAAACTTTGTTTCAATGGGTTAATTTTGGTTTGTTTGAGATTGCACACCAATTAAAGGAAAAGAAACCTAAAAAAGACACAGAATGATTTTTTAATCTCTTTTGCTATACTTTTTCTCAATTGTAGATCGCTCAATATAGAGTGAAATCCACTATATAAGTTACATTAAGAAAATATGAGAGTGTAATACTAAATTTGACAATGTATGATCTCTTTTTTAGTGTATTCTTAAAAATAAAAAAGTTGTTATTATATTTAATGTATAATGTTAGGCATGTAATTGTAATTTAACCAAAGAAATAAGAGTAAAAACATATGACATACAACACCCCAAAACTCAACAAAACATTGCTATTCAAGCGGCCACCCATCAATATATATAAACCAACATTTTTGAGTTATGGGGTCTAAATGGATAAGATGAGCCGAATTTATCAACTCCCACTTAGTGTAGGTGAGGTGCTTCACAAGAGTAGACTTAAAACTTCTATTGTACAATGTACTTAACTCAAAACGAGCAATATAATAAAGAATCGCACAACAATACTTTTTGTATCATACCAATATTTGTTGTGAGCAGTAAATCTTATGTTGGTTTATTGTGACCGTTAATGAAGTACATATTAATTCTTGAAAATAATAAAGCCAAATGAAATGTTAAAATATAAAAATTTTACACGTGTCATGTTGTTGTTTATTGAAAATACGAATATCGTATTGAAAAATTATTTTTTGATACGATAATCGAGGTTGGGGCATTACAAAGGTATCGAAGCTAACACCAATTAGAACTATATGAGGAATCTCAAGTGCTTGATATGTATTTAACATTTTTACATCCATTGTGCAACGTGCTTAAACAAGAATCAATTTATTGGCAAAACCCAACGAAGCATTGTTTTGTATGTGATAGCCACATGGTTGGCAGTTCAATGCATCAAACTATATTTCTACTCAACATTATCATATATATATATATACATATACTTGTATGTATATCTTAAAAATACATATATTATATGTACGTAACATGTCAATGCACCAACTAGAATAACAGGATTAAGGAAAAAGTTGGACACATACAATGAACTTTGAAGACATAAAACCTTAAAAAATGTAATTATAAATTAATAACCTATTTTGTTTACAGTGTTTGATTAAATCATTATCATTGAAAAACACAAAACCAGTTCACTTTTGACAGTTAAGATACTGTTAAGAGGAGACAAATCCCCAAAATAACCAACATGGTCTTGGTCACTATGCCTCTAAGAAGCTAGTTTTGGGAACTTTTGTTTAATTGTGATTTTTTGGGTTTCGTTGCAGGGGGAGTATAATATGAGTGATTTGAATCTTCTGATTAGGTCTAGGGCATTTGGTTCATTGTATCTCATAAAGCTAAAACACATGTTCTTATCTGTCTATTCTCACACCAAACATGTCTAATTAGTGTCATTCCTACTTGTAAGGCTTATTTATTCTGCTTGCTGCTGCTCCTAAAACCCATGAATGGACTTTGCACCAAAGTTGCAATAGTTTTTTGGTAGACAATGACCTCTTTGTTTGAATCTTTTTTAGATAATCTTCTTTTCAAATTCAGCAAAAATATTAAATGTAAGAGGCAAAAAATTGAGATTACCTTCTACTGGAATTGAAATGGTTATGAGATTCTGAATTTGATCTCCCATTCTTCCTCTTCCTGCAAAACCAACACACAACCCAAGATTGAAGCGTTTTGATCAAAGACACTCCGATACTTTAGTCAGTAAGGATAATGAAACGAATGGAAGAAGACAAGGAGGATTCAGCCTACCTTTCACCTTGGCTCCTTTTGATTTTTATAGATCGTTATCCCCTTAGGGTTTCCATGAATTTAGGTTCAAGGTGGCACACTTTCCTTCAATTCAGTCATTTAGTTTGGGAAGTTGCTCATGTTTCTCCAACAATTCCTCCTGATATCTATAATTTCGTTGACTCATTTATCTGATTGCCTAAGTTATAGACGAGTCTTTATTTTTCTATTTATCATGTGAAACAGCTCGGTCATATCGAATGCCAAGCACAATTGATGTTTGCAGAATAGATTAAGGGACTTGGTTTGGTACAAACCGATCTCTTTAATTGCCTTGCCGAACACTTTAACAGACTCGACTTGGTACAAGTCGAGATTTTTCATTGCTTAGCTGAATAGACTGATGAGTTCGGTCATAAAGAGGGCCGATCTTTTTCTTGCCATTGCTAAACCTCTTATTAGCTCAGGTTGGTTAAAAAACTCTGATAGATGATTCTTGATCACGTGCCTTGTCTTGTCAACATCACGTGAGTACATTTAATGCTATGTCACGTGTAATCATGAGGTTTAACCCCTTCATTTGCCCCCAGAATGTCTGATAGACACTTTTCGTCTGTTAGCCATTTTTTCTCCTTCTCATCATCATTATTTGCACTTTGTAACATCTTGTTTTATTCTGGCGGCATATTCAGGGCATTTAAATATTGCCTTTTAAAATTCCCTTCTCTTTATACACCAACTTTCTTTTTATTTCATTCACTTCGCCTCATTGCTTCCAAACTTACTTTCTTCCTGTGTTTTCTTCCTCTAAACTTTGTCTTCTTCAATGACCCCTTTTACTCCCTCAGAAGTTCCTGCCTTCAAAATCAAGTATAACATTCCAGACGATGTTGAGGTTAGAGTTTGCTGGAAAGGATGAAACCCTAATTGGCATAAGAGAGAGAATCCCCATTCCTACACGTGCCATTACCAAAGGTGGGATTCATTTTCCTCTTGAACCTCTTCTCATCTGGGTTCTCTTTGTTGCGAAACTCTGCCCTCTCTAGTGCTGCCTTAACTTTTTTGGATTGTCATGGGGGTGTCTTCCTTGAACAATCTGGGTTTGAGTCTTGGGTTGTGGGAGATTTTGTACTGCTACATCATCAAGGCTGCCGGAGATAGCTACTACCTGTCGGTGAGGAAGAAAGAGAGATATCTGGTAACTCACCTTCCAGATTCAAACAAGGGCTATGAGAATGATGTAGTGTTTGTCTCTGGTAACTAGGAATATGCTTCTAGTGTCACTCCATCTTATCGCTGTCCCTACGAAGAAGGCATGCCAGGTATTTGATATCCTTTGCCTTCTGTTCTAACTTTGATTCTCAATTTTTCTGATTTTGGGTTTTCTTCTGCACAGGTGAAACTGTGAAGGGAATGATTGTTGAGTCCTTAGTAAAGATGGATCAACTCTAGAAAGTATGGGATTTCA